GGGGGGGGTTTCGGGCACAATCCTGAAAAGTCCAGAAAAATCCCGCCCCCCTGATTTTTTCCTTCCGGTACGCCCATGAAAATATGATATTGTTGTAAAATTAATTAACAAACAATAAAATAATGTAAGAATTATTCAGGAAAATCTTAAATCGCGGTACAGTTACGCTTTTGAGTTATGCTCCTGCTGGTTTTAAGTTATATTTATGAAAATATCATTTTTATACAGTAAAATAGTAAGTTGTTCTAAAAAATTGTGTTCGGAAAGTTTTGTTTATTTCGTCATTCCGCTGATATATGGCGATTTCTTTGACGACTGCAATATATTTCTGAATTGTTTGAATGAATTGCTCTTTATTTTTAAAATATCCAAAATTAAAAAAAAGCCGAACACACTGACGTCTTTAGCTATGTCCTGTGAAAATTTGAGAAAAATTGGTTAAAACCTGCAGGAGCACAACTCGTTTGAAAATCAGTAATTACCGTAAACTTTTTCGGGAGAAAATTGAATTTGAATATTACATTTTCAATGTTTTTCTTATTGCAGCGAAATGTATTTTATTAAATAACTCTGCGAGTTTTCAACATTTTTCGTTCAAACTTGGTCAGATAGTAGAACTAGTCTAATGCTTTCATTAAAACCAATAGAAAATTTTTAGGCAAAATTAACACTCAAGGGTGTTCTGTAACCTTAAAGGGTTAAAAGGATTGGTGCATGGGCAGTTTGTTTGGTCACTGGTTTGGTTAACCCACTGAGTGGCAGCAATCTCCACATGACTACAGTAAAATTGTCTGGTGTTAGACAGAGTAAAATACTAACGCAGGGTGCATTGCCACTTAAGGGGTTAAATTTTAACCCATTGAGCCTCAGCGCTCTCCCCTTGATGAGTAAAATGCCCCCATTGCCCCCCCCCCGGTTCTGCAGCCCCTGTAAGCAACTAAGCTTTCAATATGTTTCTTAAATCAAACTTAATAACTTCAGATGTTAAAATGACCTCTGAATGATAAATTTAACACAAGAACAGAGCCTGATATAAGGGTTGGACATTTTCCAACCAGATCACAGTTTGTCCAACCAAATGCTAAATTGGTCCAGGGTCTTAGCTAGGATTTTAGATCTTGGGCGTGTTTCTAATGACCAGGATGTGCATATGTCAATTACTGTACCTTGAATAGCCAAAATCACGGTTCTAGTTATGTTCGCCAACAACAGACAATGCCTGTGGCTGTTCTATGCTTTGCAACCAAATACAAGGCGAGCATACGCTCATATTGCACACTGACATTAGAATATTAGGTTATTTCAGCAACTCTTGGGGGCATTTAAAACCATTTCAACACCATACAGTTTCCATTATCCATCAAAACATTAAAACATCACAGATCGCTTTTGCCAATTTCAACAACAACAGTAGATTTTACAAACTTTCTTACGACGTAAATTGGAAGAAATTCTGTCTGTTGTAAGTACTGTATAGCACCACCTTATTTTATGAACCTACACGGCCTTATACAATGAAGCTGAGTTCATTTTATCTAGTCGTGTTTTTCCACTTTTGGCCACGATAACACGGCCCTCTAGCTAAGACCTGAATTGGTTGGATATTTTATCTGGACAAAAAATACAGTAGCAATCAGTTTTCTTGAAAGACCAAGTCAACCATAAGCTGCATCCAATCATCCCGCAAAGAATACAAATGGTTAAATTTAAACTAAAGCATTTTTACTACACTTAGTATCTGGTGTTTGGCATAAAATATGTATTATATATTGGCTATGCAAGGAAGAGTCAAATAGAATCAAAGAACGTCCAACCAAATTTAAAAAAATTTCCAATCAAATTTCGTTTTGGTTGGACATTTTTCCAGACAAATTTTGAATGTTATTTTAGACTCTGAAGAATGCTAAATTTAACCTCAGAATGTGTGATAACAGTTTGGCTGCCTATTGTTCAATAATCAGATGATTATTGATTTCTGATATTATTTTCTGATTAATCAGCTCATCACCAGTTTATACACCCTGTATAATTACGTTAGAGACTAAATGTGTGTACATTGTTATAGAATTTCTAGAAAGCAAAAGCGATGAACTGTTTGAGAATGTTCCTGATCTGAAGAAAACATTTGTTATTCAATCAAAGATTGGAGAAGGTAAAGTGTCTTTTGTAAGCGTGCACACATATGAAAGGTTTAACTTGGGGGAAGCATTATTTACTGTTAGGCAGTTGCGATATTGAAAAAATCGATATATCGATATCGAAAAAAAATA